CTGAAAATCTACATTCAACATAATTTTTGATTATGAACCAGATGTCTTAGCCCATCATATGATACCATTCTAAATACCTTGTGATCTCTACTATGCTATGTAGAAGAAAAAACAAAGAAACATTAAACACAGGATGGATGACCCTTCACCAAAAACACACTGACCCACAACCAAAATTTCAAGGCGCTATTGGTAAAGTGGGACACCATATATTGGCAAACTGGGACACTTGTTACACATTCCATTTTTATTTAAACACATTAATAATAGCATTAGCATTAGGCCAATCATCATCAGCCTACTATCATTCATTAATATCATAACATATACTGAACAAAAATATGAACGCAACACTTTTGTTTTTGCTCCCATTTTTCATGAGCTGAACTCAAAGATCTAAAACATTTTCTATACACACAAAAGACCATTTCTCAAAAATACTGTTCACAAATCTGTCTAAATCTGTGTTAGTGAGCACTTCTCCTTTGCTGAGATAATCCATCCGACCTCACAGGTGTGGCATATCAAGATGCTGATTAGACAGCATGAATATTGCACAGGTGTGCCTTAGGCTGGCCACAATAAAAGGCCACTCTGAAATGTGCAGTTTTACTTTACTGGGGGGGTCTTGGGGGGTCAGAAAACCAGTCAGTATCTGGTGTGACCACCATTTGCCTCACGCAGTGCAACACATCTCCTTTGCATAGAGTTGATCAGGTTGTTGATTGTGGCCTGTGGAATGTTGGTCCACTCCTCTTCAATGGCTGTGCGAAGTTGCTGGATATTGGCAGGAACTGGAACACGCTGTCATATACGCCGATCCAGAGCATCCCAAACATGCTCAATGGGTGACATGTCCGGTGAGTATGCTGGCCATGCAAGAACTGGGATGTTTTCGGCTTCCAGGAATTGTGTACACATCCTTGCAACATGGGGCCGTGCATTATCATGCTGCAACATGAGGTGATGGTCGTGGATGAATGGCACAACAATGGGCCTCAGGATCTCGTCACGGTATCTCTGTGCATGCAATCAATAAAATGCACCTGTGTTCGTTGTCCATAACATACATCTGCCCATACCATAACCCCACCGCCACCATGGGCCACTCGATCCACAACGCTGACACCAGCAAACCCCCTACCCAAAACACGCTGTCTGCCATCTGCCCTGAACAGTGAAAACCGGGATTCATCCGTGAAGAGAACACCTCTCCAACGTGCCAGACGCCATCGAATGTGAGCATTTGCCCACTCAAGTCGGTTACGACGACGAACTGCAGTCAGGTCAAGACCCCGATGAGGACGACAGGCATGCAGATGAGCTTCTCTGAGACGGTTTCTGACAGTTCGTGCAGAAATTCTTTGGTTATGCAAACCGAGTGTTGCAGCAGCTGTCCAGGTGGCTGGTCTCAGACGATCTTGGAGGTGAACATGCTGGATGTGGAGGTCCTGGGCTGGTGTGGTTACACATGGTCTGCGGTTGTGAGGCTGGTTGGATGTACTGCCAAATTGTCTGAAACGCCTTCGGAGACGGCTTATGGTAGAGAAATGAACATTCAATTCATGGGCAACAGCTCTGGTGGACATTCGTGTAGTCAGCATGCCAATTGCACGATCCCTCAAAACTTTCGACATCTGTGGCATTGTGCGGTGTGATAAAACTGAACATTTTAGAGTGGCCTTTTATTGTGGGCAGCCTAAGGCACACCTGTGCAATAATCATGCTGTCTAATCAGCATCTTGATATGCCACACCTGTGAGGTGGGATGGATTATCTTGGCAAAGGAGAAGTGGGAGGGAATGCAGTGTCAGTACATATGAGAGTTGAAGGTGGTTATGGCTCTTGGGAAAAAAATGTTTTTTAGTCTATTAGTGCGTGCCTTGATGCACCTGTAGGGCCTGCCAGAGGGCAACAGGTCAAACATGTCAGAACCTGGATGTGATCTGTCCTTGATGATGTTCTGTGCTCTGCAACAGGAGGTGTTCCTTTGTGCATAACAGAGTTGTATAATGCTTATTTTAGCTTACTCAATTTACTTTTAAGTTCATAAATATTTCGAAGTTATACTTAGATATTTCTCTATGTTACAGTAGGCCAGCTAACCAGCCATGTGTTACAGTAGCTAGTAGCTACATGCCAGTGCAAATGTTACAGATTGTATGTGTGGCAGAATGGCTCATTTCAGCCTCTTAATTGTGTGGCAGGATAGGTTTTTGCTTTCACTTTCTGCCCTGCCAACTGAGTGCCACCGGCTGGAGGCAATTACTCAATTGCACGCTGATTGCGGGCCGCACCATGCCTTGCTATATGTAGGCAGACCTCCCCTTCCCTCGGGTTGGATCCTCCTACTCTGCACTGGAGCCGGTGTCCGCAGCAGTGGCGTGGTTTGGCGTGGTCTGGTGTGGCTGTTCTGACGCCGTTTGGATCGTGTCCCCTCTGTGGTGTTAAGGTGGGCTCTTTGTGATAGTTTTGCTGCAGCGTGTTTGATGTGTGACTGGTGTTACATCCAAGTCCACTCTTTTTGCCCCGTAGCGGAGCTGGCCTGTCTGCCGGCTGGAGATCTGACGCGGCCTGTGCGCTGCCTGTGCGCAATGAGCCCACGGTCACAGCTGCTGTGCTGAGTGAGTGAACATAGCGTTCCCCTCTCTTCACGTGGGAGACCACCTCAACGTACCGGTATGTATGCAGTAACTTATGTTACTCTTAAATGTAAGATAAATAAACAGTGGGTAATTTGGATCTGTTTGTGCGCATATAGTGTGCATTGTGGGCAGCTCGCTCAACAAACCGGGCCTCCGCTCTGACATCTATTGCTGTTCTGTCTCCAACTGGTGTCGCTGTCTCCATCTGGTGTCGCTGTCTCCCATTGCCTACGCTGTTTTCAGTGTGTCAGCTGTTTCCACTAGTCCTCCAGGTTGAGCTCGCTTTCTCTACACTGGCCTGTGACGGACAGACTCGGGATCGAGTTCAGGTTTCAGCCCGAATTAATGAGACACGTTGTTAAAGCGGTACCCACCCATCAAAGTTAATTTGATTTAAGTTATTTTTGTTATTTCTTTTTGTGTGCTGCGTTTAATTTAATAATCAGTTAGGGCTTAGTTTAGGGTTTATGTTGATTGTTTTGTTTTGCAATTATCGTGCCTGTGTTCAGGGCAGTTGCTAGGAATTCTGGGCCCCCTGAAAGAATATCGGTGTGGGCCCCTCTACCCCATTCATTGCCACTTTTTTTTACAACTGTGTATTATGATGTTTTTCTTCATTTTTCTGTTTTTCAGTGTTCTTGACGGTGCCTGGTGTAATACACCCAATTTGTTTTCTTTTTTTACGATTAACCCCTCAACAAGTCGGAGTATTATTATGTAAATTATGTATTATTAGTTGTCTTATTCCCATTTCTCTGATTTGCAACACGCTATTACACCTCTGATTGCAAATACATTTTCAATTAACCACTCAACAAATAGGTAGTGGGTATTTTATTGTAACAATCAAGCACTGATATGCAAAAAAACAAAGTGTCCTGGCTCAAGATAGTCCACAAGGTGGAGCCCAAGGTAGATATGTAGCATTTAACTTAAATGTGCAAGTAAAACAAACAGCACATGAAATACGCTGTTGTAAAATAAATATCAAAAACAAAAACAAGCCTCATCTAATCTCAATTTAGGTTTAAATTGGCTTGTTT